GCACAGGGCAATGGCTTTAATTAGTGACTAGACTAACAAGTTATAACAAATAGAGGCATTAGGGTCTGTGTGGGGAAGTATCTCACTACTCTGCTTTCTAGACCGTTACCATACTTCACTTTGGCTAATGATTTTAAGAAAATAAATCTATGGTGGGAATTACTTTTTACTAACAAATTTATTAATATGTGATGGCTATAAAAAAGCTCATGTTTGATTTAAAACAAAAAGAAAATATTGATAACATACACAGCCGGTTTCAAAAATATATTTTCCTTCGGGTATAGTAATTTTCCTGATCTGGCTCGGTTCCAGCTATTAGTACTTTAGTGTGCTGCTATTGTGCGCCATGAAGAGAGTCGCGTTTCTTGCTAAGCCGGCCAAGCTTGCTTAATGGACCTGGTCGCTGGATGGGCATTGACTTTCTTTGGTCACTTTCATCTTAATTTCTTTTTCTACATGTTTTCCGATTGCTTTTTAGTGTAATTGAAATTTGTCAATGTTTGCTACAATTTGATATTTCTATTTTACAATGTGAATCCTAATGGTTGCATGGTTTTATTTCACTCTCAGATGAATATATTTTGAAAACAACCCACAGTGCATATAATTGTCTTCATAAAAATCATTTTCAGATTCAAGAAGAGGTAAACAAAACAATCAATGCATGGGTGAAATGTTACCACCAAAGCAACAAAACAATCAAAGCGCCAAAACAACAGAAATGAACATACCACCTCAACCACATCAATAGGTAAACTGAGAAATATATAGGGAAAAGAAGGACCAACACAAATCATCAATCCATAGCAACAAACAATAGAAAGATATGATATACATATTGAAAGAGTCGGCGACAGCGAGAATGAACAGAGAGGAGAAGGGGAACCGGAAGTTCGCCCTAGAACCGAAGCGACAAAAGAATAGATGGGAGAAGTCGAAACAAAACGAGAGGTAATTGCGGGTACATAGGAGGGAAATAGAGAAAATGTAGAGGGGTAGCATTGACATTACAAATACGGAACAAAGATCAAACTGCGAAATGCGCTCGACGCCCCACCCCCCCCCAAAAAAGCTTTTGTCGTTCCCCGAACAACCGACGCTGAAAAACTGCGGAAACAACACCCCAAATGACCCCTAACAACATTTTGAAAACAGTAAGCAACAAAAACAACACCCCAAATGCACCCTTAGTTTCTCACTAAAGAAAGTTATCAGATATTTGTTTGACTTAAAATTACATCAATCCTAATTTTAAAAGCATCACAAATTACATTGGATGCATAAAAAATCAAGCAAGCTAAGGATGGGTTAGAGGTGATTAAAATCTTAACCTAATACAGGACCTTATGTATTGCAAAAAATTAAGAAGATCTATCCAATTTCAAAATATAAATGGTAGAGGCAACAATCATGCTAAAGTTCTTGATGAATCGCATGTAGAAAATAACTAGACCGGAAAAATATAAAATTTGAATTAAACACTTGGGTGAGGACTAGTCTAATGTTGCTTGAATTTTACAACAACAACAACAGCAACAAGCTTTATCTCACTAAATGGGGTCGGCTACATGAATCTTTTTTCTCCATTGCATCCTATTGAATGTCACATTTTCATTTAATTCTAATAAATTATGATCAATTTTTATACAATAATGAATCATAAGAAAATCATCAAAATTTTAAGAAAAATATTTCTTTTAAAGTGGATATAAAACATCTCTTTACTGAGAGTTTCAAAACTTGTTTAAAGTGTTGCAAATGGTTTATCTCACTTGGGCTATAAATTAATATATCAAATAAATCGATAGCCAAATACTTTCCTAAAAAGAATTTTAGAACAAAGCTCATCAATCCTATAAATGTGCTTTGAGCATTTAAAAGCTTAAAGAGCATTTCTAACCAAACATTGAGTCTATTAGGAGCCTTGAAACATTTTTTGTATTAATCTACCAATCAAATCATAATATTTGGATAATTATTTTTAAAATTTATAAAAAAAAAACTCCTTAAATTAAATCCAATATACGACGATTGTGGGTGATCTTATTTAGTGGAAATAAGATACGAGAAAAGTAGATCTTTAGTTTAAAATTTAAGAAAGTGTTTGAAATATATGATGGAGTGGTGATGCATTTGAAGGGGCATAGTGATTGAAATACCAAGACTAATCCAAATTAGTCTAATTTATGCTGATTTGAAATATCAATTTAAAGAATAGATTTAGGTTGGATAAATAGCTAGAGATACTTTTAGAATATTATCTTAGAATGCAAACCTATAACATGGAATAGAGTTAGATTTGGTAAGATATAGTTGGATGCTAAGAAGAAGGGAAAAAGATTAAGTCCTCAACCTGCATAATTTAGCCTAGAGCTATAAGGCTTTGAAGTGAATACGAGGGTAATTGATCATAAAAGAAGCTAAAGGCTATAAACATATATTTAGATATATATATATATATATATATTGTTGAAAGATCTAAAAAATAATTAGGATTATATTCCATATTTGTTATAGTCTATAGTTAGAGGGTTATGAATTGTATGAGTGATCATAAGAATCACTATTTATTTTCTCCTTAATTAGGGAAATTTACTGCCTCTTATATTTGTTATTATTCATTTTTTTGTCTATTGTATCCTGCTTTTATTGTTTTCCTTACCAGTAAATATTGTAATGGGTATTTATACCCTCTTTGCATCAATAAGAATAAGCCCTCTTATATTTCTTCATGATATCAAAGCGTCCGATCCGAAGGGGCGTCTTCCTCTGAGCAAGATCCCTAAACCCTAGAGCTTGTGGCGGCTACAATAGCGTCTGATTCGCAACGACGTCTTCCTCTGAAAAAGATCGCTAAACCCTAGAGCTTGCAGCGACGATCGATATAACTAGCAATCGGGATCGTCATCGGCGCAGAGACCCGGAACTCCGCCTTTCCTTTCTTCTGCTTCGTCGTCGCGAAGCAACTGCGACCAAAGCTCGCTGAGAAGGCAATGAGACGATCACGTCTCGCTGGCAAGGATCGTGCGCGTGGTTGACGAAGCAATTCCGCATCTCGAAGTCCTTTTAGCGATGAAGGCGGTAATCTTTTGCTTCGGCGGGCGAATCTCGGGATTCTACTGCACGCTCCGTTCTTCATCTCTAAAATATTTGAAGTCACGAGGACAAGCCAGCCTCTTCAGCCATCTCAGACCAAACCTTAGAGTAATACATCTGAAAATCATCTCATTCAGATCACTACAATCCGACTAAATGATATAACTTTCTTCGATGGTCACAATTTGTTCGCATGTATATCCGAGGAATAGGAAATATTTGTTATATCACCGGTGATACTAAGCAGCCTGACGTGAATGATATAACTTACGTCATTTGGGATGCGGAAAACTTAATAGTAATGACATGGTTGTTCAATTTCATGATTGAAAAGATAAATGTCAATTATCTGTGTTACTCTATGACCAAAGAATTATGGGACAATGTTTCAGAAATGTACTCTGATCTTGGAAATCAATTCCAAGTTTACGAGTTCACTCTACGACTTTAAAAAATTTGCCAAGGTGAGGATTCTGTGACAAAATATTTCAATTCTCTTAAGTGGATTTGACAGGACCTAGACTTATTCAACGATCATGAGTGGAAATCAAAACCCTGCTTCCAATTGGTAAAGTTTTTTGCGGAGGTAAGGAGAGAAGAGAGTCGGAGACATGTGATGTTGGGGAAGAAGACTGCAAGTTCAACCGTGTCCGTGGAAGGATCAGCGCTGGCTATTCCTGAAGTTCAAGTAGGAAAACTTCTCACAATCAGCGTGTAGAAGACAAAAACAACTTGCAAAGTGACTGCTGTGGAAAGCCACATCATACTCGCAAAAAATGTTAGAAGTTGCATGATAAACCATCTAATGGTAATGGGAAAAAAATCTGATGAACATAGCAAATCTACAACAAATGAGGTTGAGTCATCTCAAATTAGTAAAGAGCAATTAAGTCATCTTATTAATTTGCTGAAATCTTGCTCATCATCTAATGCTCCTATTTGTTCTATAGCACAAACAGGTAGTAATCATTTGATTTTATCTGTTCTAGGAAGTATCACTCCTTGGATCATTGATTTAGGAGAATCTGATCATATGACAAGTTGTTCTCAATTATTTGATTCGTATTATCCATGTTCCGGTTTTGAAAAAATCAGAATAGCCGATGAAACTTTTTCACCTATTGCAGGAAAAGGAAATATTAAAATTTGAGAAAAAAATCTCTTTTAAATCTGTCTTACATGTTCCAAAACTTACATATAATTTTCTTTCCGTTAGCAAATTGCCTAAAGATTCTGATTATTTCATTCTTTTTTCTCTTTTAAATTGTGTTTTTCAGGACCGAAATTCGGGGAAGATGATTGAAACTGCTAGAGAAATAAATG